GTCAGCTTTCCTGCTCCTCTGATGCTGCCTGGCCTGCTGTGTTCATCCAGCTCTACACCTTGTTATCTCAGATTCTCCAGCATCATCAGTTCCTACTACCCCTTCGTGCATAAAAATAAACTGTTTTATTCACAACAACTTTCTTGGTGAAATGATCATGTCACAGAAGGTATTTCCCTGCCCCTCAGCTCAATTTTGCTCATCATCGATAACCAACGAAATGGACCAGCGATAAGACCTCAAGTTGCTAGTGTCAGAACTGGCGTGGTCACTATCTATAAGCACACACTTCTCCATGTTAAAAAGTAGACTTGTAGCTTTTCTTCATTAGTTCGGTTAAAGTACCAACAATTCACCGTAAACTGTCTTCAACAAACGTCCTCTGTTACTTCTTTGAAACAGAGCTTAAATGAAAAGTTTTTTGTAAAGAACATTTTCAGAAAATCGTCATCTGATCCACAGATAAAGCAAGCCCGGAAACCGTCCTCATTTATAAGAATGAGACTATGCTGGAGGAACTCATAATAATTTGCTGTCAGAATACCTTCAGCACAGTGTGAAAACCTGACTTACACTTATGTACCATTCTGCTAGTGTTTACTGTATCGACAAGTTGTTTAGACAAAAAAAACCGGTCACAACAAGCCCACCAAGTTCAGGACTGAACACTAAAGCTTTCATCCTTCCAACGTGAGCCACAGCTTGCAGTCAGATCTGGTCCTTTGCTCAAAACCCACGCTTTGGCTCAAAAGGAAATGTTAAAAAGTTCCGGAAATATATAAAAGTACCTCTGAGTTCAGCTAGCTTCGGATTCACTCGTCAGAAAGCCTTTGGGAGTGGGGAGTGTACACCTGAGAAGAGACTTGAGTCGGTGTGGTCTCCAGGTGCCTGAAAGCCTCCGTTCTGGGCAGTCAGAGCTACGGCTAAGATGTGGATGATGACTTGCATGAGTTCCCTGACCCAGTGAGTGGGTTAGAAACTCGGGGCGGAGTCTACATTCTGCAGAGTGAAACCCAGTCAGCCCCGACGTAGCAGCCTGATCCTTCACGTTGTGGAACTTGCTTAACAACAACGTCCCACCCTCCCAACAGAGAACTGTGTCAGTAACTACGCTCGCTCCCTGTAATTATAAAGTCGACGCTGATTCTACACTAATTGCTTTGTGTCTTTTTTTTAATAAGCTCGCCGCAGTGGGTTTGGTTATTTTCCGTAATAGAGGAAAAGCAAAAGTAACCATCTTTAAAAAAAAAGTTGCCTGCTTGCATGACACCCGAGGGTGGATAGTCAGCGAAGGACTAATGTTGAAGTTCCCTCCTTCTGAGCCTCTTCCCACGCCTAAGTGCTGGGGTCAGAGATAACACAGTATGGAGCTGGAGGAGCACAGCAGACCAGGCAGCATCAGAGGAACAGGAAAACTGACGTTTCAGGTCGAAACCCTTCCTTCCCTCTCTCTCTCCCCTTAATGGAAGAACAGTCCTCTGTAAAACTCTGGCCCCGCAGTACAGTTAAAAAGTGACGGACTTCCGTTTAGACTTCAACAACCAACCCTCCCAAAGCACTTCACAACCAAGGTTCTGAATTATACTTCCCGTTGAAATGGGCAATATCCAACAGACAGTTTGCGTACAGCAAGTCGCCTCAATGACCAGTTAATCTGCGAAAATAGGAGGCTGCAGATCTGAAAGAAAAAAAGCAGTAATTGCTGGAGAAACCCAGCTGGTCTGGCAGCATATGTAGAGAGAGAAAGCTGAGTTAACATTTTGGGTTCCAGATAATCTGCAAACATGCCTTCCAGTGAAGCAACACTTCACCTGCACTTCCCAGAATCTAGTCTACTGCATTCGCTGCTCACAATGTAGTCTCCTCTACACTGGGGAAATGAAGTGTAGACTTGGCGACCGCTTCGCGGAACATCTACATTCTGCTTGCAAAAAAGACCCTGAACTACCTGTTGCCTGCCACTTTTAACACACCACCCTGTTCCCTGACCAACATGTCTGTATCTGGCTTGCTGCAGTGTTCCAGCGAAAGCTGGAAGAACAGCACCTCATTTTCCACTTGGGGACTCTGCAGCCCTCTGGACTCTATATGAGTTCAATAATTTTAAGGCCTAAACTCTCCCATCCCACACACCAGGCCTTGTTACCACATAGCCTGCCATTACACACCCCCTGTTGTTAGTCACTAACAGTCCCCATTAACAACTATCCATTCTCCCAGCCAGATCATTATCAACTCATTTTTCTGTCCAACTGATCTTCTCTCTCTTTGGGCTCTATCCTATCATTTATTCCCTAACTCAACCCCCTCCCTATTTTCTGCATACAAACCAGTGTTTTCCCAGCTACCATCAGTTCTGAGGAAGGGTCACCAGACCCGAAACATTAACTCTGATTTTTCCTTCACACATGCTGCCAGACCTGTTGAGCTTGTCTAGTTTTTGTTCCA